TATATATATATATATATATATATATATATATATATGGGAGTGGCAAGGCGATGCGGTGTATGCACACCTGCCCAGTACGCGCCCGAAGCGGCCATTTAAGGCTGAGATGTATAACGTATGACTTGGTGAAATTATGGATATGCAGAGCAACTTCGTGCTGCTTTGAAGTTAAAAACAGAAACGGAAACAAATGATACGATTGCTTCGCACCTCCTGAGTTGTATTTATTTTTTCGTAATTATGGGCGGGACAAGTAAATGAGTTGATTTAATGAATTATTTCTTCTTTTATTTGTTTTGCATTGCCTTGGTGCAGATACTACTCAATTTTCAAGGACTGGGATGGCGTGCGCGTATACAAAGAAAATGAAATTTCATGGGGTCTATACACTGAATTCGATGCGGAAGCAGCCAAGTATTTGGCGCTATTAGACGCAGAACTGCAATCAATTAAAAGGAGTTTAATTTCAAAATTCCCTAACTTAGATCTCAGCACCGTATTACCTATTCAAGAACGTATCATTCAACAATATGGTACGTCAAGCAAGGAAAGCTGAACAAATTTCAGGTGTATAGGCAGCTCATGATCTGTGCACATTTTCGGGTGTATAGGCAGCTCCTGATCTTTGATCATTTTTCAGGCCATTTATGAATTTCATATTTATTATTCTTGATTTTTGATATTCATTCTTTAGATGATTCTTTTTGTTTATTCTTTGCCTTTTTCTTTTTCTGTAATTCCTGTTTTTTAATTCTTCTTGCCCATTTTCCTCATTCTCTTCTATTCTTACTGCTTCCAGGAGACGATGTCAAAGATCGCAGTAACCTGCAAATGGTTGTTTCTTCTAACAGGGGATACGCGTCCTGCAGAACTCCAGCTGTAGCGGTGGGAGGTAAATTTTAATTAATTAGACCTTTTTGTCGCATGCGTTCGGCATTTTCCTTCATATTCCTTAATTAACTGAACATTTCCATTGGACGTCTGATGGCTTTCTTCGTAGTGCTGAAATAATTGAATTATTACTCTAATTCTCAACCCAACGGAGCAGAAGCTCCACCACAGTGGGTTTTTGTACGTTATACATGTATACAGATGGAATATATATGCATATATATGTATACATATATATTATATGCATGCACATTATATATATCGCCCTTTTCGGAGGAAAGATCGCTTTGGCCTGCATATATTTTCCGTAGGAAAGTATAGTTGTTTACTTTGAGTTTTGTTCTGTTTCGTTCTCCCTTGCGTTTTTGTTTAGGAGGATTTCAACCAAACGTTCAGGGCCGTTTATTCCAGGAAGATGTGCCGAGTGGCATGTGCGTACTGCGCGGTATAGCGGAGTTGGTGGGTGTACCGACACCTACGATCGACATGATGATAGAGTGGCATCAGAAGTTTATGAATATTGAATTCCTTAAAGACGGAAAATTAAACCCTAAAACAATTCATCTGACTACAGCACCCGCTCGCTATGGAATTCAAACTGCAGACCAACTCGTTGCCACTGCATTGAGAGGATGCAGCAACACGGGCTCGCACTAAATAACTTAGCACAGCAAACTCCTGCTGCTGCAGTGGCTGCTGCTGTGGCTGCTGCTGTTGCTGCTGTAATCGCAACAGCACAGGCAACATATAATATGCTTAGCCAGAAGGCCTGTATGTAGCAGCTGCTGCAGTCGCTGCAACTGCTACATTATATATATATATATATATATATATATATATATATATATATATATAT